TGTTTTAGGTGGTGTTCACAAGGAGTCCCATTATCAGTACTGGCAAATATCTGATTATTTCACCCTCTTGGTGTCATCATGAAAATACAACTTTGACCAGTAGAGTCAATTTGATAGGCCTGTGTCCTTTTGAAAAGGCAAGCACACTGCCTTTTGACACAAAACTTGAGAAAAACGACAATTCTCAGTTAAACTGCAAACTATGTGATTTTTCCTTGCTCTATTATTGTTTTATGTCACACAGAGCAAAGATTACCAAGCACCTATTGAAAAGGGTCAATGAGGATTCTTCATTGAAAATCCTTCTCTAGGTTTAATCAGATTCTGGAAAAAACACATAGTATTTGCATGAGCTAAAAGCATAAATCACCTTCGTCCTTGTATTTGATGGTGACTTCATCGCTGCTCTGGAGTTGGCCGCGGAAGACGCGCTGCATCATGAGCAGGAGTTCATCGTAGGTAATGTCCTCATTGTGGATGGGGATGCGGCGGATGTCATCACCCAGCTGAGCCTTAATGATCAGCTTCCCACTCAGGTCCAGCTGGCCATTCATACTAGTGAGACACAGACACACTCTCACTGAAAAATGAGCATGCACACTGACGCAGAAAATTGCATACACAGGCCTAGCTGTTTATTGACTCTGCATTTGCCAGGATACAGAGACTGAGAGACAGGTAGGACTTACATTAAGTGCATCTTAACCTTAAAGCAAATACTTTAAGCTGAACTTCCAGCACCGCTTTTGGAAAAAAAAAAAAAACACAAAATGACCATTACAAAGGAAGTGATCTGTAATAAACCACCTCCTACTATGAAATGTTAAACACAAGAGCAAAAATCTACCCAAGATTAGGCCTGTTATATAACTGTCTGATCGCAAACACAACATGAACCAGCTGTGTTTTCATCTGTTGGGTAGAGGCAAATACAAGTAAATAAAAAAAAGCAGAGAACACACTGACTGAGACATCATGTCAGTGCTTATAACTCAAGCCATGTCTGTCAGTTGAGATCTACAAAGTATCAACAGCTAAGAAGTATGATAGCTAAGCTGCCAATGTGGCAAATTCAGACTTGTACTTTAATAGATGCATAAATTAACAACAAACGCTACAAGAACAAGAGCTAATGTAAATTACTCACACTTATTTATATGGGACTTAGTAATCAAATGCCAAAATGTCATGATCAAGACACGCTTACCCAAGAAAAACTACAACTAAAGGAGCACTAAAACTCTCATAGTCCCAGAACAAACTGCTCGTCTCCAATGACAACCATGAGTTGGCCATGCGACCTAATTAAAAGGAATACAATATGTAGAACGGCCAGCTGAAACAGTAGTAGGGAAGATAAGACAGGGCTGTAATTAGGTCCTAGGTCTATAGTAATCGGACCTGCCCATAGGGGCTGAGTCAGATCCAGCTTCAGTACAGTACATAAGACTTAATGTAACTCTACAGCCCAGTCTAAGGGTCAGACCAGAATGAATGATTTGGCAAAGTCCAAATCCACTTTCCAACACAGACTTTGGCCTCTTTCTTTGCAAACACTAGGATAAGCCCATTGGTTCTGTGATGGAATGACAATGCCACTGATCACGTTGTACGCAGCCGCACATCTGACTAAATACAAAAGACAGTAACATTAGATGAATCTATTCATTCCAACATACAAATCAAAGCAGTACAGCGTTTTAACATACAGTTTACTGCCGTTATCTGACCACTGTTCAAATTAAGATCACGAATAACCAGCCTTTGATGTGTATAGTAACTGCAAGCGCTTTCATTACGTCGGCCACCTTATCTCAACCACATTCAGGAAACACCAACACCAAGTGACACAATGGTTATTTGACACGCTGGCAGTGCTGACTGACTTCTCTAACGTGTTTGGTTTTCTGAGTTGCTGCCTGTAGCGTAATCTTCTTCATTATTTCCATGTTTCAGAGACATTAAAGTGCTGCGACTCTACTGCGTGTCTTGAGTCCAAAACAGCAGAAGAGAAACACTGCAGAATTTGTCTCGACGAGTTCTAAGCAGTCGGTCACATTGTGCAGCATCGTGATATTTTTATTATTCTCATTACTGATGTGTGGTATTAAGTATGGCGAACGAAATGATTCTACCATTCTATCGTTATCAACGTGTGTAAATCGAATCATGGCCTAAGGGGACAGGGCTTCACTTTCACAGAACAGCAGATATATAAATAAAACAATGACTATTTTTGTTAATTGTAGTAGTCAACAAATAGGCCTACATCCCATTTAGGTTCACGGGTGGCTAACGCCTTACAATTCAGCGTCTAACTGGTCTAACTCGAAATAAATGGCGATAGCAAGTACTTGCCTAAACCTACAGCCGTTAAACTAGTTAAACTACAAGAAAAAAACTTTAATCGTTTTACTATTATCACGTCATGCAGTACTATTGCACACTTGACAAATTAAATACTTTAAATATCCAGTCAATGACAAACTACTTCGTAGAATTGTCTACTAGCTGCCAGTGACATGGGCGAGGTGAGGGCGGTTTACTTTGGCTGCTCTTGTTAGCCAAGTAGCACAGCGATTCACGTCACCTATTTGCTGATACACAAAAAATGTGAAAAATATCGAGAAGCCTGGTCACGCAACGAACCGGACCGTAATGTAAGTGTTCCAGTGGTGCTCCAGTTACACAGACATAAATTAATAAACCTGCGTGTGTTTTGTAGGGCGCTCCTCTCACCAGGCCATTTTCCTCCCCTGTCAAATAGTGATCTGCCCAGGATCCGTCCGCAGCTCTACTCGGCAGATGTTGCAGCGACTTCCTGCTAGAAAGTGATCTATTCTTTAACCGGCGTCAAGTAGCTAGCTAGCTAACTGACTTTAATCAACTAGTTCTTAGCCATAACCTCTATCAGGGACTGAGATATTACACGCTGCCAATGACAAAAGGATAAACATTAAACTATATAATAATATACCGCGGATTCCTCAGTCAGCGGTCTGTTTTTTGTTTGCCCCAGTTTTTTCGTGGCTAAAGTGATGCTAACGCTCCCAAGTCACCTGTTCAGTGTCCGGGTTTGTCAGCGCAATGAGAGGGGCTTTAAAGACTGTTTTGAACTTTTTTGTAATTTATGTGACAGTGGACAAGCAAAAGAGTTTTAATTAATGTAAAAATAAAATGGTCTACCTGGTGTTAAGACGTGTTGATCCCGCAGTGGTACAGACTCAGCAGAAACCACTCAGACCCGACTCACTTCAACTCCGCTGCACATCCGGAAGGGTCTCGGGGCCTGTACGTGGCAAACACAGCAGCGCATGCGTAATACGCATACGAAGGCGCACGCACGCACGCACGCACGCACACACACACACACACACACATATATATATATATATATATATATATATATATATATATATATAGAGAGAGAGAGAGAGAGAGAGAGAGAGAGAGAGAGAGATAGACAAATAAACTTTGCAGTGTGGGCACGTGAAATAATTGTTAAGCAAATTCAATAAACAATTTCTATAAAACAAACAAACAAATAAATGTGATAGAAGAGTACTGAGAGAGAGGCTTTCTCTGCATTTGACGGGCCTACATAGTTTTACTAAAACAGCGCACCCTACCCTATTGTTCTAAAAGAAATAACTGCATTAAGCACACGCGTTATGCCTAATTGGATTGTTTGGATCTTGTCAGTTGTGTAATTGTCTTCCATTTAATACACTTAAAGACTTTTGTAGAACAAAAGTTCACACCTATACCCTCCTCTTTTAAGCGCTGCGTAACTATGTTAAGCCAATTTACCGTTTTCAAAATAATGATAGGCAAACTCAACCAGTCATTGGTTCTGAACTATCTCGGTACTTCAAGCAAGCAAAGAATAGTTGAATTCCATCATGAAAACTGTCCAGCTAAAATATTTGCCTGGTTTCATTAATGTTCATATGGTTTCCCAAATTGGTATTGCTTTAAACTGGATTTAAAGTGGCTTACATTCATATGTTTCAATTCTGTTTCAGCACTGGCAAAGTTTGTGAATACAATTTGTTGTTGAAAAAAATATAAAATTAACAATCACCAGCTCTTATTGCATGACATTTTGTAATGTTTCCAATGCAAATAGTTATTGCTTTATTTTTTTTGCTTTAGAATCATCTCCTACAATCATCTTCCTGCATCTGTGATCTAAATTTGTCTCCCTCAACCTGCTTTATGTTGGCCATTTTGCTTTAGGTTTTATGATGAAGAAATCTGTGTCTGCCTGTTTTCAAACACAGTTCATAGCCAGGCTGTGAAAATTTAACAAATAAGCCTTTAACTTCGATCATCTTAATGTAAAATGTTATATTACAGCATTTTGAATCATTTCCACTCAGGCTTTGGGGTTCAGACTTATTTGTGTTTATGTGATGCAAAATCCAGAGAACTGACATATTCCTTGAGTCTCTCCCATATGTTGGGAATCCATTTCCTTCCTCATTACAGATAACAGCTGGTAGAGAAATGGAAAAGCTCTTTACATCATCAGTTTTGTCTTTTTGTCTTCATAAGGTTGTCTGTTCTAACTAGAGAAGAAAACAATAAAGCCCCTTGTTGAGTGAGCTGAATATCTGTGGTCTTTCCACAATTAGGCAGGGCTGCCTTTTATAATGTTTTTTCAACATCTGAGCATCATCCCATTATCATCAGTATGATATGAACAGTATGATACATAAACAAGTTGATTTTCTGACGCTATAATATGTATTACATTGTTTCTCAAAAGAGTCTTCAATTCAAGTCTTGACAGCACTATCTTGTGGACACTAGATGCATTTGTCGTAGAAGTAGTGTAGAGTCATGTTTAGGGCTGTTTCACTACCAGCATTACTAAAAACAGTGACCCTTGAATGCAAGCAGAAAGGTCTAATAAGTGCTGTTTCTACTCTTATTAAATTAGAAAAAGATAAAATGCAATCATTCTTATATCAGCAGTCTGAAAATCCTTAAAACTATTTTTAAACAATCTTCTTTTATTTTGAGAGCATTGAAAAAAAAGCATTGAGGTTAAAAGGCCATAGCATAATAGTACAGTATAATGTGATGTAATGTAGAGGCAGAAATTTTACATGCACACATACAGTCTCCCTCAAAGACATACACATGTATTACAGTACATGCCTCAGTAGTCTATCAACACTACTCCGTTCAGTAGAAACATAATTCATGATGGCCTAACAGATTACACACATAAAGAATCTATACAAATATATTGTACACTGGTGGACAGACCAGAAACAATGCACTGTAAACAAACACAGCCTAATTGTATGCAGGTCTGTTTGATCTTACGTGTGCATCTATCACTTTTTTATACTTCCATGCATGTCAGAATTGTGAGCAAAATAGTATAACATGGCCTGCACCCAGTTCTCCATTGTTGGCCATTTTACTTCTTCTTCTTTTCCTGTGTGGAGTTAAACCAGGCGTCTAGTAGCTTCTTGCTGTAATAAATCTGCCACGCATGTACCTGGATGGCAATTACCATGAGCAGATACATCACTGACACAGCTGAAAATCCAAAGATGAAGCGGTAAGCTTTGCCATGCCGGTACAGCTGCTGGGCCACCGGGAACATCTCCATGGCGCCGAAGATCAGCGGAGCCACAGAAAACAGGCCCGCGCTAATCATGGAGATCACCAGGTAGCTGATGTTGTTTTTGGGCATGGCCATGGCATTAAGCAGTGAGGGTAGCAGACTTAGAAGATATGGGTACTCCCATTGGTATGGCATGGCCACAATGTCATAGGACAGTAGCTTGAGGTGGGCCACTGTCACCTGGGCGGCTACTAATGCCCATATTAGAAGATGTACAATAGTCAGCTTCTTGATCTCTGACTTTAATGAAGCGCTGAAACACACATAGATTTCAAGTTAGTATGTAGCCACAGTTAAATCACTTAAAGCACCTATCTACACTTACAGGGCTGATGGTGCAATAGTCTTGTTATTTCTCTTGGTTTTAGATAAAACACAAAACAACATAAACAATGGAATGATACAAATCAGTCAACTGCATTGTCCCAGTGGAAAGATGTATTCGGAAATCATATGTTTCTCTTATTGCTTTACGTTGTCATGCTGAAACAAGTAAGGGCCTTCCCCAAATTGCTGCCACAATTTAGAAGCACACAACTGTCTAGAATGTCATTACATGTTGGAGCCCAGCACAATCTCTGAAAACAGGTCCCCCCCCAAAAAAAACAGCCCCAACCATTATTCTTCCTCCACCAAACTTTCTGGTATCTACCATACCCAGATTCATTCATCAGCCTGCCAGATGGTAAAGTAAGACTCATCAAGACAGAGAAAACATTTCCACAGCTCCAGAGCAACCAAGCACCCAAGTGCTGTGTACATAACAGACTGGCACACTATGTTCTGCCTCAAACAACAAAAAGTGGACCTTAATTTATAGAAAATCTCAATTTAAAGGGCCTATATCATGAAAAAAGACATATTTTCCTAATTTTTTGAGAGTTTGATGTAGTATGTAAACATTGCTAAAGGTTCAGTGGACCATTCACACCTCAGTCAATGCAGTCCAGACATAAAAAGAGGTTGGAAAATGATCAAATAATAATGAATGTTTTTGGTACATATAGTCAATGAACATCATAAATTAACCTCATGGAAACAAATAACTTACAAGGAAAAGGTAAGATATGCAGATATACTGTGCATAAAAATTGCGATTAGATATTTTCCTCAAATCACTCAGCCTAGGTTTACTGTAGAGATGTAAGAGAAGTTACCTCATCTGGTAGTGAGATGCCACTTTCTCTCTGTGCTTAAAGTCACTCCCATCAGTCCCCGCAGCTCTTGGACCTGTGCGTGACGTCATGGCAAACCTCTGTGTAAAATATTTCCCAACAGATGCCAAGGGTATTAGTTACAGGTCTACTAATGATATACAACAGAGCAAAGACGTACAATCATGGTGTAAATTGCTCTTTTAACCTCAGGCTATGTAGACCACCCTCACCCCCCCTCCCTCACTCCCCCTCACCCCGCCAGCCGCCCTCTACCCCACCCCGCCCCCTCACCCCCTCATCCCCATTTAGCTTATTTTAATATTTAGGCCAAGTACAAAAAAGCTGTCAGACCCAAGAAGATTTTATATCAGAAAAACATTAAAATAGATAGGACTTATAGCATCATTAACCAACCAGAGAAAAGTCCACCATAGTATTTTAAAATAGATTTTCTATCAGTAAATGCTATATGGATAGGCCTACATGGGAAATGTGGCTTCGTTGCTGGCTAATGGGTACGTTAACTAATGAGACCGACGCTGGATATGATACAGTAACCTATTTGGGCATGACGAAGCAAGGCTTATTTCCGTGTTTTACGCCAGGATATTTGCTTTCCGAAGCTAAGAAAAAGACAATCGCTTATTATTGGATTAGCTGGACTAGCTGAAATAGGCCTAGCCTAACCAAATCGCGAGCTGGCCTATAGCTCTGGTGTCAGGTTGGCAACTGCAGATCTGTATAGTCCCGCTGCAATACATGAAATTTACACTGCAAAATAACAAAATAAAAACAGCTGTTCTTAAATACATCACATGAATAAAACTCAGGATGTCGCTACTTACCACTGCTTTGCTGCAAATCTGAGGAACGCCAGAGCTGTTTTAACAGATAAAATCTGAAGAAACCCGAGATGGTGCAGCTGCTCCCTAGCGCGTCTGTCAGTTCTGCGCATGCGCAGTAGAAGAGCGCACGTCATCTTTCCGCCCTCGGATGTGAGATCTGAGAGCGCAGCATCAGCATCACTAGGGTTACACATCCCTTTCGTTTCTACTAGGTTTTTCTGATTTGTAGTATTCCACATTTTAGATAATATTTATTTTAATATATTTATTACATTCTATGATTTATATTTGATAATTTTGTTGACATTGTATGTAATGCTTAATTTTTATATTTTATATTTACCATATTTCATATTTTTATTACTTTTTTTAGTTTTTATAGTTGTGATGGCATTATTTTTTTGCATACATAAAGAAACAAAAGGCATAATATCATTATTATTTATACACTGTGCTTTTTAACCAGCCTACCTATCACAGCGCTCTGAACAGGAACTGAATGAAATTGATTTGACCCTGATTTTAAGTAGTCCAGTGCAATTACCCACACATATCTGAACAAATAGATCGCTAGCTGTGATTAAATTGGTGGTGTATATCTTGTAATTGCAATTAGTTTGTAGCGTTAAATAATGCATTTTTCAACAATAAGTTAATAATTTAATGCTTAGTAAATTGTCTGAATAATGTATAACAAAAGGAGATGAATGTGAAACAGAAATTGTTTTGGCACAGATAATAGGTTTACTTGTTGATTTATTTATTTTATTTTTATTTACTTAAGATCTACCTGCAATTAAATTCTCCCAACTCTCCTGATTACCCACTCCAACACTGGCTCTGTCTCAACTGTTCAAACACAAAGATAGTGCAAGGTAGTAGGGAAAGCGGCAGGTTTAGAAAGGGTCAGAAAATGGGCGTTAACAATTTGCGTGATCATGCATATTCATATGTTCATTTTTAATGAGTGTTGAGGTTGAGGGATGCATCCTCTTAGAATTTTTGTAGTTTCTTGGGCATAACAATAATAAAAGTAATACATAAAAATACATAAAATAATTCATTATTCAACATAGATGATATTTTACAACTTTGCAGGTACTTTAAAAGATTGGATTTGAGTGCATGTATATAGTGCAAAAGTTCAATGCAAAGACACTGTTACGAATGTACATCTTTTATTCAAAAAAGACACCCAAATTAACAGTAAAATGTCTAAACTTTGCTTCTTTTTGGATTAAACAACTTTAGCACCATTTGTGTAAAGGGATAAATTGAATGAAGCATTTTTTTTCTCTCAAGCCCTTTTGTTTTTAAACAGACAATCAACAGTCAGACAATCAGAAATCCATAAGTGTATTACACAGTGGTCATGCATGTTATGAATATTTAGGAGTAATGGGGAAGGATATTATGAAAGGTGATTTGAAAGTATGCAAATATGTTTGTGACATGAAAGTATGTAGATATGTTTGTTATATAAAATGAAATGTATGAGAGTGAGGGAGGTCTAAGTAAGGGCTGAAACTCAAAAATGTAACTTTCTTTTTAACAGTATTTATTCAGTGGTTTTAAGACAAGTGAGTGTTTACAGTTTAGTATCAGAGGGTTTTTCTTAACAGTCAAATTATTCTAACATTAAACTCTTTCGCAAACATGTTGTAATAGAACATACACACAAATGTGTGCACACATACCCTCCCTCCATCTCTCTCTCTCTCTTTCTCCCTCCCTCACACACCCACACCCACACACACACACACACACACACACACACACACACACACACACACACACACATTCCTTTATTAAAATTTGGCTTGTTTTTCACTCAATATTTGTGTGAAAAAAGAACAGATGTGCAAAAACATTACATTTAGATTAAATACAAGAAAAAACACTTAATTTGGGAATAGCAATTATTGGTCTTCTTAAGCTTATAATCTTACTATATTTTCAGTACGTACATGTAAAAACAATTAATTTATGTTTTTGATATTTTTGAAAATGTCGTCTTTGGTCATACTGACACATTGTCAAAAAAGGAAATTCTGAGAAAATGGTAAATTCAATGTGTCCTAAACATGCTAAAGCTCAAACACCTTCAAGGTACCATCTATTCAAAAATGTATAAATACATTTCATTATCATAACTCGCCCCATGACATGGGACTGTGGGTTTTTAGATGAATATGCATTTGGTGGTTAATGAACTTTTTGTGAGATCATATTAAAGTATCTCCATAAAAACAGTACTTTCGTACAGATGTATAGATGAGCTTGACTGGCATGAAATCACAGAGAAAGTTTCCTGAGATCCTTTGTTTCATCTGATGATGGTTTATAAAATCATTGTAGAAAAGTCTTTTTTTTTTCTTTTTTCCTTCATTGGCTCTGTCTCTGTCACACTCTCCCACCCTCTCTCTGTGTCTATATTGGTCTACATGGGATAGAGTAGGAAGCCAGAGAAAGAAGAGTGGACATATTGCCCTGCATAGAGTCCAGCTGCCTGGTCAGATGGTAGCTGGATGTGAACAGTGTCTCCTGGTTGTAAAGGAACCACAGCACTACCAGATGCCTGGTCTAGAATGCCCTTCTTGTACTCATCATATGTGTACATCAAGGGCTCTCCATTTCGGTACAGACCCACCCACACATTGCCTCCCTTGCAATGCACATGATATGAGAAGTAATAGATGCCAGGAAGGTCACAGGTGAACACTCCGGTCTGTGGATTGTAGTTCTGTCGTCCATTGTACAGCAGCTTGTCAAACACTACTGGTGCACCAACAGGAGGGAAAGGTGTGGTCAGCTGAGCAGTAAAAGCAGGCATTTCTAGACCATTAGCACCCATTATATCACCTCCACCTCCATATTTTCCCTTTTTGTATCCGCCAGTCTTCACTCCATCAAGGGCTGGCCCCATCTCGGATAGAACACCCATCATATCAGGGGACAGGGCAGGTGGTCCAGGGGGTCCTGGGGGACCTGGAGGCCCTGGACGCCCTGGCTGTCCTGGGGGGCCACTTGCACCTTCTGCACCAGGAGGACCAACAGGCCCAGGAGCACCAGCACTTCCCTCACCTGGAGGACCAGGTTGACCAGGAGGGCCATTCTCTCCTTTAGGCCCAGTGGGACCAGGTGGTCCAATTGGTCCTCCTGGTCCTGTAAGACCTGGAATGCCATTGGGACCTTGTGGCCCTTCAGGACCAGGTGTGCCACTTTCTCCTTTTAGACCAGGCAGGCCAAGTGGACCAGGAGACCCAGGTAGACCCTTCTCTCCTCCTTCTCCTTTGGGACCTATAGGTCCTGGTGGTCCTCGAGGACCAGGCTCACCATCCTCGCCTGGTTGACCTGGTTGGCCTGGCAATCCTGAAGGCCCAGGCTGTCCCATAGGTCCCTGTTCTCCTTTTGCTCCACCTCCACCTTCTTCTCCTTTAGGTCCTGGCACACCCACACTACCTGGAGGCCCCATTGGTCCTGGAGGCCCAGGGGGACCACTAGGTCCAGTGGGCCCTGTCATACCTGGAGGACCTCCATATCCTTTGTCTCCTTTTTGTCCTGGAGAACCAGGTAGTCCTCCAATTCCTTTGTCACCTTTTGGGCCAGGGTATCCTGGTTTACCAAATCCAGGTAATCCAGATTTCCCTGGCAAACCTGGTGGACCTGGCAATCCTTTTTCACCAGGAGCACCTGGTTGTCCTGGTAATCCACTCTCTCCTTGTTTTCCAATGCCAGGAAGCCCTTGTGGCCCTTGTTGGCCCTCTTCACCAGGTGGTCCCTTTGGACCTGGTTGTCCAGGCTGTCCTGGTTTTCCTGGTGTTCCTACTGGACCAGGCAATCCAGGCATGCCAGGCTTGCATATGCCTGGGAGTCCTTTATGCCCTGGGAGTCCTGGGGGTCCAGCTGGCCCTTTTGGTCCTTGTGGCCCAGGTTGTCCTATTCCTCTATCCCCTTTTGGCCCAGGCAAGCCTGGCAAACCAGGTAGACCTTTGTGCCCTGGTTCTCCTTTGCCTCCTGGCAGTCCTGGTGGTCCTTGCTCACCTGACTTCCCGATTCCTGGCAACCCTTGGTGTCCAGGGGGCCCAGGTGGTCCTGGTATACCTGCTTGCCCCTTTTCTCCACTGGGTCCCTGATCTCCTTGAGGTCCGGGTGGTCCAGTACCACCAGGATTCCCTGGCATACCTGGCATCCCAGGTTCACCAACTCCAGGCAATCCTGGAGGGCCAGGTGGGCCTGGATTTCCCAGAGGGCCTGGCACACTAGTGCCTTGAGGCCCAGCAGGTCCTGGAGGTCCTGGAGGTCCTTGAGGTCCAGGAGGCCCCTGTGGTCCAGTCTCACCTGGAATACCCTGCTCACCTCTAGGAATGGTCTCTCCTTTATTCAAAACAAATATATAAAACAAAAAAACAAATAAATAGAGAGATTACAGTTATCAATTACAATAATTATATTTAATTATACACACCTTTTTTGTCCTTGCCTTTGTTCATGTGCATAGGTAATTGTGGCATCTCCTTCCTGTAGTGTGGATACTGCATGTGAGGTATCTCTTTTCCCATGGCCATGTGAGATATTTGTGGTATTGGCTGGTGTTGCTGATGATGTGGTTTGTGCCCATAATATGCCCCTCCAAAAACAGTTGGCATTAGTGCTGTTTGCACCAAAACCACCAGCAGGGGAGCCACAGCCATGGCCTGAAGAAACCAATTAATTAATTGATAAGTAAATCACTCACTGAATCAATCAATCAATCAGTCATGAATTAATTTTTCATTTTTATGTTTTATCAAAATGTCAAAAAAAAAATAAATCAGTCAGCCAGTCAATCGGTTCATTAACATAATAATTAATTCAATTCATAACAATTTATACAGTTTAATAATTTTATGTAGGAGTAATACAGTAATAATCAATTGGTTACTCATTTGTTTCATCAATCAATCAATTGGTCTACTAGGAAGTCAGTCAGTTAAGTAATAGCGTCAAATAGATCATTTATAACAATTTTTAAAGTCATTTAATACGTTTTATGGCACTATCAAAAATGCTATTACAATAAAGGACAGTACTCATTTTTGTATATCCAGTCAAAGTGTGGAAAGA